GGCTCTATGATGTCCATCTCAATCATTTTCTTGATTTCTTCCCTAACGGAATCACGTAGAGCAAATGGAATTTGATACGGTTTGTTGTGAATAGGATCCGTAGTTGTCAGATGTATCTCATGTTGAGCCAAATGAGTAAAATTTGGTAAATCAGACAAAACATCTTTGAATTCCGACAAAATCTTTTTGACGTCATCTTGTTGCTGCTCAATTAGATCTGTGTCAACATTCACATCTTGAAATGTCTCCTTAGCTTCGGAAGGCGGTATCTCTAGAGGGAAATCACTCTCACCTTCTGAAGTCTCACCATCTTGAGGTATTTCTTCTTCTATGATAGAACAAGAACTAAGAACTTCCGGTGTACTTACCTCTCTTTCAACATACTTCTTCAAAAGGTTAGCATGGAAAGTTTTGATTTTGCCCTGTACATTCACCCTGTAGTCAGCCATTCCACATTTGGAAATAATGGTAAATGGACCCTTCCATTGCATGAGTAGCTTGTTGTTGTCCGTCGGAAGGAGGATTAATACCTTATCCTGAACGTTGAATGAACGTGACCTTGTTTTCCGATCGTAATATTTCTTGTAGCGCTGACTGGACTTTTGTAAGGACTTCCTAGCTAATTCACATGTCTCTTCTAAACGCTCTTTCAAGTCGATGACATACTGATAAGTACTCTTGACTTCTGGGTCTTTTAATTCTTTCGTCCACATCTCTCGTAGAACTGTCATCTGTCCTCGGACTGATCTACCATATAATAATTCAAATGGTTAAAAACCCATGCTCTCTTGAGGAACTTCACGGTATGCGAATAATAAAGGTGCTATATACCTGTCCCAATCCTTGGGTCTTTCAGCAGCCATACGTCTGAGCATTTGTTTAAGTGTTCCATTGAACTTTTCAACCAAACCATTGCAGGCAGGATGGTACGGAGTAGTTGTAAGTTGTGCAATGGAAAGTAAACGACCTACCTCTTTCATAAGGTTGGACGTAAACTGGGTTCCCATATCTGATAAAATTTCCATAGGAATTCCAAGTCTAGTGAAGAATTCAAACAATGCCTCAGCAACACGTTCCGTCTCAATGCCTTTGAGTGCAACGGCTTCGGGGTATCTTGTACTGTAATCTACCATAGTGAGTACATACCTGTTCCCACGATCTGTTGCTGGGAAAATTGGACCAATCAAATCTACAGCAACTCGTTCAAAAGGAGTTTCAATGGAATTGAATGACTCTAATGGAATTGGGAAGATCTTACCTTTGGGTACGGTTCGCTGACAAACGTCACATGATCTACAATATCTTCCTACATCACCTTGTACACCTGGCCAATAAAAGTTAAACAATACCCTATCTGTTGTCTTTCTTATTCCTAAGTGACCAGACAGTACACAATCATGTGCGAGTTTCATAACTGTAATACGGTGTGGTGAAGGAACAACAAACTGTTTGAAAATGTTATTGCTACTAACCTTCGGAGACTGAAAATATCGGAACAAAAGACCATCTTCAATGACAAACCAAGATACATTCTGTTGTCCTGTAAACTTCCTTACACCTGTCTTTGCGTATTCCCGATATTTATCCAGTGTAGCGTCCTCATTTTGTGCAACTATCATATCATCTACTGAAGTGAAATTGTCTGTGATAGTAGTTACCTTTAACGTTTTGTACTTTTCCTTTTCCTTCTGTACTTGACCTCTTGTCTGTACAGCTGAGCCTTCCACCAAGTCATGTGTATCGTTTTCCTCAACTTCATTATTTCTTCCAGTGTCCCATTTTGGATCAGGGTCAGAGGGATCTCTTGCACCTTTTATGTTACCTATGATTAAACCATAGACTGGGTTGTTCATACATACAGCTTTGACCTTACCTGTTATGAACGGTGTATGTATATTGATGTAAGCCTCGGGAACTTTCCGGACAGTCCCGTCGATGAGTACACATTCCACACTCCGCCCTGTCAGTTGGTATTTAGGTACGAGACTGGTTTTTACCACAACTCCTGTGCATCCACTGTCTCGCAGAACCTCCAAAGGATGATTACCTACATACCCATCTGAAACTGGCATATTATGACAAACACGACAAGCTCCACCAATGACCGGTAACATATGCCCACAACGTAACGTAACTTGATTGTCTTGTATGCAACAGTCTTTCAATTTATCTGCCAAAATACACAAAGAACCTACATGTTTACCTGAATCAGTAGATTGGTTTCCTTGTTGATGCTCACTCTCAACATCAACTTTCTGGTGCTGTGATTTTGCAGATCGGGAAGTAGCCTTTGATGAAGAACCAGAGCTTAGCATCGCTGCGCTTTTGTAAGTCTGAGAACGATTTCCTTTCTTCAACCTGTCAAAACAATCTTTAGCGATGTGGCCAGATCTACCACACTCGTAACACTTTCTATCATTCTTACCTGAACTTGAGAAAGGTTTCTTTTGAAACGTTGTTGACCTTGACCTCACATCATTGGTCGCTACTTGATAATTTGTGCGATCGTGAGAAAATGAAGAAGTGCCGTGCGCTTCAATAAATTGCTCTGCTAACCGCGTCATTTCTTTAACATCTTTCGGATGAAGTTCTCGTAAGAAAGTAGCTAAAGTCTTACTACAACTTGAAATAAATTGTTCACGCAGCATAAGATCTCTTAAGCCATCAAACGTTAATGGGGATTTCGCGAGTTCCATTCATCTTTTCAGATAATTGTCTAAACGCGCGAAAAACTGAGGAGGGATCTCACCTTTTTCTGGTTTACAACCTCTGAATTTCTCGCGGAAACCTTCTTCGGACATTCTAAATCTCTGAAGCAATGAACACTTGAGCTTATCATAATCAAATGCATCACCTGGAGATAAACGAGAGTAAACCTCAAGAGCAGTACCTGTAAGCAAAGCACTAAGATTTATTGACCATGTATCCTTAGACCACTTAGCATTTTCTGCAAACCTTTCAAACCTTTGTAGATAAGCGTCAATACAGTCTCTTTGATCATTAAAGGGAGGAAGTTTGGGCATCTTGGCACGATTTTGAACAGACACCTCAGGGGACATGGGGGCACTCTGATGCTTAGCACTAACTTCTAATGTCAATGCCTCTGCTTTAACTCTCTCTAACTGAATTTGTTTTTCTAACAATGCCAAATGATTGCTTGATTCTTTCATTTGCATCTCCATGCTCAACTCTTTTTCTTTTCTCCTAGACTCTTGCTCACATTGTACTATCTGCAAATCTAGTTCTTTCTCTTCTCTCTTTGCCTCTCTTTCCTTTGCTCTCTCTTCTCTCAATAATTTATCTTCTTCAACTTTTCTTTCTGATCTTTCTTTTTCTCTAACATATTCCAACAACTGATCTCCGTGCAGACCTAACTTTTGCCCAATCTCCACTAATTTCTCTAACTCTTTCTCCATTTTCAAAGTTCAGTTAAACAGCGTAAGGATATTTTGATATAAAATATTTCCATCCCGGACGAGCCCCCAATTGTCACAATTTGTGATAAATGGCATGGAAATAAACCCTCGCTGCAACCAAGCTTTGAAAAAGAACAAAGAGTATGTGCAAACAAAAGTTTATTATAGTGCTCAAAACAATATATACACACTCCGAACACGCATACACACAACACTCACACAAATACCAAAAAAACCTAAAAAAAAAAAAATATAATAAACAAAAAAAAAAAAAAAAATAATAATAGTGTCTATATACCGACTAAAATCTTGTCAAACCCGACCAGACGAATGTTTCCTCGACACGTGCACAAATCCGTAGATATCTTGCTACAAATGTGACCCCAAGACGTTACCGTATTGTTCGTTCTTTAAACACACAGTCGTTGGTTTAAGTTCCAGTTATCGTTGTGACAAAGTCCACATAAACCCGTCAACGTCTTAGTACGTAGGATTTCCTCCAACGCTGTAGTAACGACACCCTATAACGTCACACTTACGTTACTTGTATTCACAGCTGGTCGAGCTGGTCACCTATAATAACACAGTATTTCAAGGTCTGGGTTTCCATAGTCGGTAATAACGCATTAATAAGGAATAAATGGATATGTCGAGTATATTATCTATCAAAAATAAAACTGAACAAAGTAATAACTTTATAAAAAGAAAACCAAACAAACAGAATAACCTAGCTAAGAAAATAAACATTTCAAACTCACCGATGCCAATGTACTAAAAATACTACACTTTCCACACAGGAAAACTTCTCAAACACACCAAACATTCAGGCCAAATGCACACAGCTTTTTTATCTGGAGACCACACAGGTTATACATTTTCACTACGGAAGGACACACCTTCTCCCTTCTACGGCCTGCTCTGAACTCACACGTCGACAATTTTACAAACTGGTCTGACAGCCGTGACCAACTATCCGTAACGAGTATACGGTGAGAATTGAAATTATGGTACGCCATAACCGACATGAGCAAATTTAATAAAAATTGTGACACTCTCTTACCAAATACATTATACTTTTATCCTTGTACGATTGCTTGTTAATGATATGCACAAGGGCATAATTGTCTGTGTAAAAATAAATGCATTTGTTATTAAAAATATGACTCCAAACTTTAAGAGGTAACACTATTGGGTAAAATTCCAAGAGAGTAATATTACATTTTTTTCCAATTGTCACTCCAAGTCCCATAGAAGCATTGCCCACCTAACTGCCCCATATCCTATAGTAATTGATGTATATTTTGATATTTATATTTGGCGTTCTGTATACTACATAGCAAATTTCTACAGATACCCCACAACGCAGCCAGTAGTTCTAAGTACAAGTTACAACATTGGCGTCCTCTGTGTAATAATTTTAGTTTTGGTCTTTTTTTGCGGTGAGCCAATCTACCATTATTTCGAGGAAATACACCGCACAACTGGAAATTGATGATAAGAATTCAAATAAAGACCTTTTAGGAGAGCACAACTCTACATCAGTTATAGAGTGTGCAGCGTGTTGCCAAAGAGAGTGTAGTTTCTATGGGTTTAATCCTCAGACGAAGAAATGTCGTACCCACACGAAGATTTTTAAGTCGGGGATGTCTAATGAGGGTGGCTGAAGATACTTCTCACATAACTGTAGGTATATCTGTTTATTTTCTTTATTTAATTTAATTGCCACAAATCAGATTAATATCATGATTTTTATCGCTCAGCATGACTAAGTAATAGTTTTTTTTTATTATTTCTTATCACTTCAATTTCTGTAATAAGAATACCAGCATTAAGGAGGTATATTTTTCTATTAGTTCTTTCTATGGATTATATATACATTCAATGATTCCAGTACCATTTTCAGCTCACCTGAGCCGAAGGCTCAAGTGAGCTTTTCTGATCAAAATTTGTCCGTTGTCTGTCGTCGTCGTCGTCGTCGTCGTCGTTGTTGTTGTTGTCATAAACTTTTCACATTTTCATCTTCTTCTCAAGAACCACAGGGCCATTTTCAACCAAACTTGGCACAGAGTATCCTTTGGTGAAGGGGATTCAAGTTTGTTCGAATGAAGGGCAACGCCCTTTTCCAAAGGGAGATAATCATGAATTTGTTAAAAATTAATGACATTTTTAAAAAATCTTCTTCTCAAGAACCGCTGGGCCAGGAAAGATGAAACTCATGTGGAAGCATCCTCAGGTAGTGTAGATTCAAGTTTGTTCAAATCATGACCCCCGGGGCAAGGGTTGGACCAAAATGGCCGACCCAAGTTTTACATAGGAATATATAGGAAAAATCTTTAAAAATCTTCTCCTCCAGAACCACTGGGCCAGGAAAGATGAAACTCATGTGGAATCATCCTCAGGTAGTGTAGATTCAAGTTTGTTCAAATCATGACCCCCGGGGCAAGGGTGGGGCCAAAATGGCCGACCCAAGTATTACATAGGAATATATAGGAAAAATCTTTAAAAATCTTCTTCTCAAGAACCACTGGGCCAGGAAAAATGAAACTCATGTGGAATCATCCTCAGGTAGTGTTGATTCAAGTTTATTCAAATCATGGCTCCCGGGGCAAGGGTGGGGCCAAAATGGCCGACCCTAGTTTTACATAGGAATATATAAGAAAAATCTTTAAAAATCTTCTTCTCCAGAACCACTGGGCCAGGAAAGATGAAACTCATGTGGAATCATCCTCAGGTAGTGTAGATTCAAGTTAATTCAAATCATGACCCCCGGGGCTAGGGTGGGGCCAAAATGGCCGACCTAAGTTTTACATAGAAATATATAGGGAAACCTTTTAAAATCCTCTTTTCAAGTACGTCAAAGCTATAATTAGTGATATTTATATGGAATCATCCTCAGGTAGTGTAGATTCTAATTTGTTCAAATGATGAATGCCTGGAAGGGGGGGGGGGGGGGGGAATACAACCCCGATGTGCACAGGGGCGCGCTGTGGCCCCGGGGCCACTTTTTATGAGATATTTCTGTGGATTGTATTTACACAGTATGATTTCTGTATTATTTTTTAATTATCTTTTATGAATTGTAATTTTTTTCTACTCTAGTCATTCCCATAGACTGTAACGATCTTCAATCAGATGGATACTTTAATTCAGGGGTGTACGAAATCTACCCCTATGTTACCATTACCAGTCCTGTCCCGGCATACTGCGATATGACTACAATGGGCGGGGGATGGACGGTTTGTTGTTTATTTTAATATAAGGCATATTATACAATTTATTTCACACTCAATGTTTTGTTGTTTTGTTGTTTAACAGAATATGGACTGAAAAATATTCTTAGCTTATATCATAACATATTGATCCCTCAAATGTTAAAAACAATGATTTGCTATACGTGTTAACTTTAAAGGCAATCCAAAAGCGAATTAATGGATCCCTGGACTTTGACAGGACCTGGACGGAATACAAAAATGGTTTCGGCGCCTCAGAACAGGATGTCTGGGTTGGTAAGTGTAAATTGCTTGCAAATAGGAACTTTTATTCCTTCAAAATTTAAAAAAAAATACGTGTGTCAGGTAATAGATTGAAGCATAATAAAGATCTGAGCTTTATACTTGGTAATATGTGTTCTCCGATATTTACATATCATGTAAGACTGATATACCTAGTAAAGAGTAAAAAGAAAATAAGAAAATCATTATCTTAATTCAGGAAATGACGTTATCCATCAATTAACCAAAGAAGGTACCTCATCCCTGTATGTGACCATAACTCTACAGAATAGTACAACGCTGTATGAAATGTACGACGGATTCTCTGTCTCCGACGAAGCAGGAAAATATCAACTCTTTCTTGCAGGACCTGCCACGGGAACCTTGGGTAAGTGTATCTACGTTAATTCCTAAAGGTATGTCGCACGTGAAATTTGTGAGATCAAGGATTTTTTAGAAGTATATTTTAGATAAGTTCTCATATAGTGTGACTCAAAATTGCAGGAAAAATAGTGTGTCAGTGTGCATCCTATTGATCTACGATACAATTAAGTTGACCTTTTTTCACTCAAACTCTAAATTTTGAAAAATTGAGTTAACTTTTATCATATTGAACCAGATGTAACCAAGGCAATAAATTTAATTTTTTTTTTTTACGTAAAAAAGTTTGAATAATATCTATCATTGAACAAAACTTGCAAATTAGTGCGCGTAAATTATTGTGTGACCTTTTTGCACCAAAAAAGTAACATTTTTGGTGTATGAAAATAATTAAAAGCCAATAAAACATTTTCTTAAATGAATATTTTTTCCACTTTTGTGCTGATTAGTCACAAGAATCGAGAACTTCAAAATAATGAAAGAGAAAGTTGGGGTCAGTGATGTTAAATTTGAAATATTAGTCAAAATATGTGATTTTCAGGTGAAAAATGCTGTAAATTTTATCTTGACTTATTAGACATATCTTCATTTTTGGCAAATTTTGTTGAAGGAAGGTGTAAAACGTGTTCTAAGAATATGTATCCAAATTAATATTAGATATTTCAGTTATATCATAACGGAACATATCTCCGAGTAAAAGTTGTGAGGCTAAAGTTCTAGGATATTCAATTTAAAAAATGTGCAGATTTGAAGAATTATCTGCTAACAAGTGTAACACGTCTGTTGTTTATTGTTACACTAGAAAGGATGTTATGTGAATTACGCAGTGTTTTGTTGTTTTGTATTATTTTTATCTCTCTTTCCAGGAAACAACACTTTAAACTGCGTATCTCAGATTTACTTAAATATCAAAATCAATGTGATATGAATTAATAATTATTATCTCTGTTATGTATTGTTTTTCTAAATCTGCAGGTGCCAGTATTAAGACACCCGGGATTCAATGACTGAACTAAATAAATATTATCACTCTTTCCATCACCTAAAGCTGTCTATCTTAGAATTACCTCAGTATTATTAATGACAGTTAGATAGAATATATATAAATCAATTATCTCTGTGATTCCTTTGTTTAACTTTACAGGAGACAGTATGTTTGACACGGGTTCTTCTAACTTTGACCTGTCTGGGATGTCATTCTCCACCCAAGACAGAGACAATGACAGGCGGAGCAGTGCTAACTGTGCTGCTCACAGTGACATTAGAGGAGGCTGGTGGTTTAACCGCTGTCACCACGCCTTCCTCAACGGTCAATTGTCCCCGGGGTCTTGGATGTATCCATGAAATCCCACAGTAACGAGTGGGACATCAGTGAGGGGGGCCACCATGATGATCAGACGGAACTAGGTAAACATCATTACATTTTAATGTCAATTTTTTTATGTTTGTATTACTCTGAAAATTTCAGCTATAAAAGTTGTTTTTAATAGAAAAAATATGCTATCCTAAATTTATCTGTGAAGTATTAATTTAATTTTTTTTAACAGACGAAAGATCATCCATGGATTATGGAAACCTTCAAGAGACGGTTTTAAATCAATTTTTATTGCTGAGTTCTTTTTTTTTAAATATTTAACATCAAGTAACAAACAGTAAAAGAAGGGTGTTGAACTGCTCTGTAAAGCGATACTGAATATATTCAGTAAAAGATGTACTTTATATGTGTTGTAATAAATTTGAAAATAGAAAAAATTCGTTGTTTTTTTCCAAACACTGATAAATGGAGATAACTGGGCGGAGAATTGGGATGACGATTACTTTATTGTTAAACCTATTACAGTGGAACCTGTTTAATCCGACACATGCAATACTCTTTTCAGTGATTTCCAGCTATTTAATTTCATTTGTCATTTATACATATCTCAATGATTTTTACACGCGACAATACTTACTTTGTTTATTCCGACAAATATATTTAATATCTGTTCCCCGTGCATGTCGGATAAGACAAGTTTCATTGTAATAAAGATGTTTAGATGTACGTATTTAAAAAAAATTCATAGGTATATTTGATGGTCATGTTTTGAGGTACAATGCATCTAAGATTATACTTCTCTAAAAACATATCCCCATCTTTTTCCATCCATGCAGTATTTTTAATTTTTAATGGATGAGCATTTAATTATCCATTAATCTACTTGAAACCGCTTAAATTGAAATTATCGTTATTTTAATATCATGGAGAAAATAAGCTAAAATGTTGAAGTGAGGCATACTGAACATTTCTTTCCACAAATCTAATTATACCATAAATATTTAGATAGCTTGAATTTTAGGTGTGACAAGAAGCACAATGATACTAGATTCTCAATGATACTAGATCATAAGCTTAAAGTAAGACGAAATCACATTTTCTGAAGAGTGGTATCTTCTATTGCTACAGAAAATCATTGAAGAAAAATTTCTGCTCTTGAATGCACAATATACGTAATAGCAGACTTATATCGATACTGTAATTTTTTTATTTGTATTTTTTTTATTTCAAAACACCCTAACGCAGATTGGGGGTCAAAAGGTAACATGTGTAATATGCATTTTGTTCTGACGTCACAAACGTTAAAAGCAAAATTTGATATCATTTAAATTTATTGTTATTTAGGTTAGAGATAATTCAAGTAAGTTAGAAAAAAATATCAAATTTGCAAAACAAGACAAGGAGTTAGAAAAATATAAGCACTGATTCATTATTTTTTGAAAGATGTTATCTTGTAACTGCAACTGTCTTTGCAAATAAAACATAGCGAGCTAACATAAATCAGTATGTTTGCAAATACCTTTGCAATTATGAGACTACATCTTTTAAACAAAATGATTCAATATGTGTGACAGGTCTTCTCTATTATACAGTGTGTAGACTATTGTTTATATATATCCAAAACTGTGAAAGACTACAACTTGAAATTTGTTATTAAATCAATAGGAAAAGTCTTCGGAGCTAATGATGAAAAACCAAGATAAGTTTGTGACACAAAGAGGCTTATGATTAATGTAGTCGTTTGCAGGTCAAAGACCAAGGTCAATATAAAACTAGTTTTGGTACCAAAAGAAACGTTTCTCACATTGAGTCTACCTTCTAAAAAAACAATAAAAGCAGCAACAGTTCAATACTTTAGACCAAAATTAGAGATTTTCATAAGTAGGTCAAACTGGACAAGGTCAAGGAGTCAATATTAATGATGCCCAAAAGAATTTCAGAAAGAATACACAGGTGAAATATAAAAGTCACGGAATCAAACATTCAAAAGTTATAACCAAAGTTTTTCAAAAGAAGTCAAAGTCTGATGTCCAAATAAAAGGATATAGAATAAAAAGAAAATATTGGTATTCAAGAGAAGTTCTTACCACAAGAAATGAACCGGTCAAATAGTTAACCCCTAGCACTAAATATTCAGTAAAAGCGTCCAAAGTTAACGTTTTTTAAAAGTAGGTCAAATCCATAAGTTCAAGGTTAAAGGTCATTACTGCTTGTACTCAAGAGAAGGTCTTATCAAATTCTGAGCGTGAGGTGTATGATATCACTTGATTTAACCGTGTAATAGCTACGCTAAGATTAAAATTTTGAAAATTTTTCTAAAAGTGAGTCAAACATAAAGATCAAAATCTAAAATACTTGTACCCTAGGAAAAGTTTTTACACGTGGAATACACCAGTGAAATATAAAAACCATATCTCATTGATCGAGGCTTAAATTCTCATATGAAAGTCAAAATAAAGAAAAAAAATTAAACCCAAGGATAGGTTCTTTTATATTATATCCATCTGTTGAGTATGAAATCTATAGCTCAAACCAATTAAAGGCTGCAGTCAGGGCTAATTGATTTCCCCAATTACAGATAAATCAAAAAAAAAATCACAAACAAACAGACAGATGGACCGATCGTCACAGCAAAATATATTTGTCCCTTATTTTTTGGATTATGGATAGAAATTAATGAAAAAAAATTACACTTTGCTAAAATGTTTGTACGTATGGTGTGAAGAGATACCGGCGTAAGTTCCCTTGGGAAAATAAGGAAACACTATAATGCACAGTCTGTCTTTGTGTACACGCTATTCATAGTTTATTTAAGACATAAGGATAAATCTAGATGTCTTCCGAGGAGACGAATATACGATCCGAGGATAAATCTAGATGTCTTTCGAGGAGTCGAATATACGATCCGAGGATAAATCTAGATCTCCTCCGAGGAGATGAATAATCGACCCGAAGTAAACTTAAGAAAATTGCATTTAACTTTAACTTTAACATAGAACTCTTTACACCATATTTAATGAAATTATATATAAAAAGATAAAGGTTGCAAATGTTTATTTTAATTTAAAGAAAATAAAAGATTAATTTACAGAACACTCTTCTGGCTCCAAATAAAATGGAAAATCCTCACAAATAAAGGGAAGTTTTAATCGTCTTCTCCTGTATAGTACGTGTAGTTTCTCTCAGTCACAAAGCGCTACCTGCCGTCGTTATGATAAGTCAAAAGGAGGCCAAAGATTGGATCAACTGCTGTCTCGCCCTCGTCGTTAGGATTTCAGTTCTGATACGTAATTGGTGTCCATTTACCAAAAATGAGTCTTTCATTGTCGTTAAATGTCAAAACATTGGCACGAAATGCAAATGAACCGTTGAGATCAACTTCTGCAGAAAAGGACAATAAAAAAATCATATCATCTTCAAATTTTAAACACCACCGAGTTGTTGCTTTTCATCCTACATGCTCGAAAAAAAAAATATAAAATTTGATCTAAGGCACCCAAATTGAACAGAAATTTGAAGAGACTGCTTTCTCGTTTTTGCGTCGTGGTAAATGTACCAATAGAATATTTTTTAACAAGCATTAGCAAAGCTAAGCCAGACTTTATTTTAATTTGAATAACAAATGAACATAATGTTTATGGATGAAATTAGAAATTAACAATTTTGATACACTGCAGAAATATATTTTCCAGAATTAATGTGCACTTTTTTATTTGAAGTTTATTTAAATATGATGTACATAATTTTTTGATGAAAGAGTAGCAATTTTTTGATCAAATACAAATTAGAGAAATTTGACAAAAATATCCTTTTTGGTATTGTATGAATGTGATAAAAATGAAGGCATGTTATGAGTAAATTGTTTACATATATACCCAGGTGTATTGGGTTTACGCCTTAAAACCTCCTAAGAAACGACAGCATGTAATAACAAGATGTGTTTGTGAAACACTGATGCCGCCATATGGCAACATAGCGAAGGTTAAGCTTTCTCAAATGCAGATCAAATACGTCGGTACCTAAAGCGAGGCCTTTCCATAAAATACAAATCTGACATAAAAAAAAAACCCCTTGCACCACCTGCAAAGGTTACGACTAAGTTTAGCGTTTTTAATGGTTGGACAAACTCCGATTTCTTTGTAAAAAGTAGGTCAAAAACCTGGTCAAAGTCAAAGTGTTAAAAGTGTTGATATCCAATGAAAGGTTTTCTCACAATGACTACATCAGCGAAGTTTAAAAGACCTAAACCTTACAATTCAAAAATTATGGCCAAAGTTAAAGTATTCTTGTAAATACGTAATGTCTAAGGTCAAAAGGTCTAAATAGTTGGATTCAATAAAATGCTATTGTCACAAAGAATTGATATCTAAAATATGATATTCCTAGTATCGACCATTTAAAAATTAGGGCCGAAGTAAAACTTTGGATTTTTTGTGTAATAATGTGTCAAACTCCAAGGTCAAGGTCAAAGGGTCAAGGATTTTAAAATCAAATGAAAGGTCTTGTCACAAGGATTAATTAGTTGAAATATGAAAGCTCCAAGCCTTATCGTTCAAAAGTTATGGCCAAGGTTAAAGTTTTTTTCACAAGTACTAAAATCTCCAAGGTCAGAGTTGTTAGTATCCAATGAAAGGTCTCTGAACAAAATATATATATGAGAATTATATATAAATTATAACAACACTAGTATCCAGTATTCAAATGATATGACCAAAATAAACGTTTGGAATTTTTGTGTAAAACTGGGTTAAACTCCAAGGTCAAGGTCAAAATGTCAAGTTATGTAGTACCCTAACACTACTGGACGAAAAAAGTGCTGAGAATCCCAAATTTTACTGATAATGTTTTATAATTACTGATAGGGTGCTGTTCTAGCTGATAATTACTGATATTTACTGTTATTTTTACTGTTGTTGCTGATAATTTTAGCTGTTGCTGATAAATACTGATAATTACTGTCGTCTTTTACTGTGGAGTCTGATAAATGCTGATAAATACTGTTGAGGTACTGTCGCTGCTGAGAATTACT